AGAAAGAGATTTGAGGATATTGAATTTATGTTGCTCAAAACCAATTATTAATTTTGTAATTTATAGATTTCCCTAAAATGGATTGAGAAAATCAGAATTTTAGTTATTTTGAATGCTTTTCAAAAATAATCAAATCTTTACTCAATGGTAAAGAAATACTAATTGGGGCAGACCTTTGGTCCTGTCCAAACACACCCAGTCCCAGCAGAGGGAACCACAAGCTGTGGAGTATGGAAAGCTTCAAACAGGCTACTCAAGGCCAGTCACAAACAGCATCTGATGTTGGCCTGCACCAGAGACCATCCAAAAGACTGGGAGTCCTAGCAGATCTACCTAATACTTAGACACAAATCCAAACAGGCAGCCAAAATGGGGAGACCAGAAAACAAACCCCAAATGAAAGAACAAAAGAATTATCCAGAAGAGCTGAATGAAATGGAGATAAGCAATCTATCATCTATAGAGTTCAGAATACTGATTGTAAGGATACTCAACAGCATGAGAAAAGAAATGAAAACTATGAAGGAAATTAAGAATGGTATGGTAGAAATAAAAAAAAAAAAAAACATTGGAAGTAATAAACAGCAGATTAGAGGAAGCTGAGGATCAGATCAGCAAATTAGAAGACAGGGTAGAAAAAAATCACTCAATCAGAGAACCAAAAAGAAAAACAATTAAAAAACAGGAAGAAAGCCCTAGCTGGTTTCACTCAGGGGTTAGAGCATCAGCCTGTGGACTAAAGGGTCCTGGGTTCAGTTCCAGCCAAGGTTGCATACTTTGGTTGCAGGCTTGATCATGGCCTTGATCAGGGCACCTTGGGGAGACAACCAATTGATGTGTCTTTTTTACATTGATGTTTCTATCTTTCTCTCTCTCCCCCTTCCACTCTCTCTGAAAAGCAGTGGGAAAAAAGAAACAACAACACAGGAGGACAGTTTAAGGGAGCTGTGGGACAACATGAAACATAACAATATTTGCATTATAGGAGTGCCAGAAGAGGTTGAAAGTAGGCAAGGGTTAGAGAGCCTGTTTGAAGAAATAATGGCAGAAAACTTTCCTAACCTAGTGAAGGAAAAAGTCACATAACTTTAGGAGGCACACAGAGTCCCAAGCAAGAAGAACCCAAAGAGGCCCACACCCAGACACATCATAATTAAAATGCCAAAAATTCAAGACTAAGAATCTAAAGGCAGCAACAGAAAAGCAATCTGTTACCTAAAAAGGAGCTCCCATGAGGCTATCAGATGATTTCTCATCAGAAACTCTACAGGCCAGAAGGAAATCGCATGAAGTATTCAAGGTAATGCAAAACAAGGATCTGAAACCAAGGTTATCTAGTAAGGCTGTCATTCAAAATAGATGGTGAAATAAAGAGCTTCCCAGACCAAAAAAAAAAAAGGCTAAAGGAGTTTAATCTACCAAACTAGCATTGCAGGAACTGTTAAAGGGACTGCTGTAATTAGAAGTAGAAATAGAGAAAGAAACATAAGCATAAAGAAATAAAATGGCAATAAATAAAGACCTATCAATAATAACCTAAATATAAATGGATTAAATGCTCCACTCAAAGGACACAGGGTAGCTGAATGGATAAGAAAACAAGACCCAAATATATGCTGTCTACAAGAGACCCACCTCAGAACAAAAGACTCACACAGGCTGAATAAAAAAGAAAACCTCTGGAGGACTTTAAAGGAGAGATCGACAGCAATACAGTCATAGGAGGGGACTTTAACACCCCACTGATTTCATTGGGCAGATCTTCCAGACAAAAAATCAAAAGGAAACAATGACTCTAAATGACACACTAGATCAGATGGATTTAACTGACATTAACAGAACTTTTCACCCCAAAGCTGCAGAAAATGCATCCTCCTCAAGTGCACATGGAACATTCTCAAAGACAGACCACATGTTAGGACACAAAACAAGTCTCAACAAGTCAAGAAGGTTGGAAATCATATCAAGTATCTTCTCAGACATTTACAGCATAGAATACTATACAGCTATAAAAATGACAGATCCCTTACCCACTGAGACAACATGGAGGGACCTGGAGAGTATTATGCTGAGTGAAATAAGCCAGTCAGAGAAAGACAAGTGTCACATTATATGTGAAATGTAATGAACAAAATAAACTGATGAACAAAATAGATCCAGAGACATAGAAGCATGGAACGGACTGAGGAATCTCAGAGGGAAGGCAGGGGTGGGGGAGTGGGTGTGGAGAGATT